AAATCGAGGTGCTGCTGCTGCTGTTGCTGCTGCTGTTGCTGCTGTTGCTGCTGTTGCTGCTGTTGCTGTTATTCATGTTGCTGCTCTTGCGGCTGTGGGGCTTGCTGCTGCCTGTGCTGCTGGCTGCATGCAGCAGCAAACCCCACAGCTTCTGCTTTTGCCCTTCTTCTTTTTTGGCTTCAGTGCTGCAGTTGAGATATAATGCGTATAATGCATATATATATATATATATATATATACATATATATAACATATATGTATGTATAGTGTTTTATATTTATCTTCTTTTTATTTATTTTAAATTTACGACGGAGCAGCCCGCTCTACTACTGCTCTCTTGCATGCATGCATGTATGCATGCATGCCTACTTGCATGCGTGCCTACGTGGATGCATGCATGACAACTTACATGCATGCATGACTACTTGCATGCATGCATGCATGCATGCATACATGCCTACTTGCATGCACAGGGGGCCTTGTTGTTGTGTGTTTGTTTGCTTTTGTTGCAGATTGAGACGGGGATGCGTCTTCCTGTAGTGCACGGAGGCATCGGGCCTGTGATACCTCGAGATATTGTGCATGCAGAAATAGAAAGGGTGTACGGGTATTGCCCGGTGTACGCGTTGCAGGTGTCAGTGCTTCCAGATGCAGTAAAACAGGCAGTGGTAAGCAAAATAAAAGTTAAAAAATTCGATGTATTCACAGATCTACTCGAAGATGTCAAAGAAAGATGCAGAAATATACACAAATTACGCACACATAACCTATACGTGCGCAGCTTAAAGAAACAACCAACACGCTCGGGGCTTTAGACATATTTGCAGCTTTTAGAGGGAATATCGATGTTTTTTTTGAATCAAATGAAAACAAATTAATTATAAAGGATATTTTGAGAAAAAAAACAGAAAAAATGATATCGTTTCCATACAAATCCAGCAGCCGACATTGTAATACAATTAGCTGCCTATACACCTGAATGAAGGCAAAGCGAAACAAGAGCAAAATATTTCAAGTGGTAGCTTTTAAGTTATTTTATTTGTTTTGAATCCTCTTTAATTATTCAATATATCCATAAGGGATAACACAATAATGCATGCATGCATGCAGAGAAAAAAACCTTATTTTACTAACAGCATAAAACAACAAAAATGCATTTATTTATCAGGCATCATTAACAAAGAAGAAAGTAAAACAAGTAAAAGACAGCATTAAAAAATGCATGCGTTTAGTGGAGAGCAGCACACTCTATCTTGCTGCTGTACAAAGACACAGTTTATTATACTTTCCTGTCTTTGTTTGTTTTGCATTTGGAGGCTAAAGACATTTCTTGATTATATTTTTCTCTGTTGCTCTCTTTTGCTTATTTTTATTTCTTCTTTGTCTGTATTAAACACCACAAGCTGCCGCTCTTGCGGTGTTATTAGGTTGCTGCTATCTCTTTCTTTGTTTTGTGTTTTTCTCTTTAATATAATTTGAATAGTTTTGCTTTTTAATAACAGCAAATCTTAATTTTATTTATTTGTCTCTGTTGCTATTTCTTTTGCAGCTCATCTTTCTGTTGTTTTGCTACTCTTATCTTTTTCATCTCAATTCTTCTGCTTTTCTTGTTTGCTTCCACCTTCAAGGGGTGTATAAAGGATTAATTAAACGTATTGTTCTGCAGATACTCGAAATAAAAAATAAAAATATAACTGCATTATAATGCAGCAACAAGGGGGTCCCCCTGGGGGCCTTACTGCTGCTGCTTTACCTTTAGACAGTCTTCTATAAAGTCAAGGAAATCATCCATTTCAGTCGCACTTGATTCATGTGCGAGGCCCTCATAGGTTTTAAACATGAAGCGTTTGCTGCTGCTGCTGCTGCTGCTGCTGCTGCTGCTGTTATTGTTTTGGGTTTTCTCTGCTGCTGCTTTCTCTGCAGCAGCAACAGCTCGCTGGAAGGACGAACGAGCGAAGGAATAGTCTACAACAGAATCTGCTGTACCGTGCATGTGCACAAAGGGAAATGAGCCGTCAAATAAAGCGCTGCTGATCTGCTGCTGTTGCTGCTGCTGCTGCTCTAGCTGCTGCAGAGCAGGACACCAGCCACTAAGACAGCAAACGCCACCAAGTTGAAGCTGACTGTGCATCGGCATGAAGTACGACATCGCACCCCCTTGGCTGAACCCCGCGAGAAGAATGCGCTCAGGTTTGATGCCTTTTTGCATTTCTCCTCTTACAATATTTTCAATCCTTTCTGAGCTCTTCTGGAAGCCCTGAAGGTCTTCGTCTACATCTCGCCTGTCTGAACGCGAATCAAACCATGCGTTGCATTTAATTCCATATTTCGTGATGTACATTTCATCTGCTGTAGGCAAGATAAGCCGCAAACGACCGCGAAGAGAAGGACGGCTGTTCACCAACTCTAACAGAACAGACCAACCTTCACCTGAGTCGCCCCTCCCATGAAGAAATAACAAAGTTGCATCACTTAAAGAAGGAAAAATATGAATTCCTTTGCCTCCATAACCATCACCTGGGCTGAAAACTGCCTCAGATTTCATTTTTGCTCTTCAGAGATGTGCGCAAGATGGGATGAGTTGTGGTGTATGTACACCGCAGACGAAAACGAAAGCAGTGGAAACCTGCACGAAATTCAAACTTTCCGGGGCCAAAACCCGGCTAACTAAACGAAACTTAATATTATTTTATTAAATATTTGATTTTAATGCCGAAAACCCGCCGATTTCAGCAAAAAGATGACAGCAAGATGCTGCTGCAGCCAACAGGAGTTTAAAACACAGGCGCATGTGTTCATCGTGCAAGTTGTAGTTAATGAAGTATTTCCTCTTCTTTTTTCTCTCTTCTTGCCGTTGTTTCTTCCTTTCTGTTTATTAATTTATGAATAAAACAATTTAATTAAACCACCGTTTCCATTTCACCTTCATCTTCGACTGTCTGCTCGTCTTCTTTCTTCCTGGCATCTCTTTCAGAAACTGAATTGCACACGAAACACAAAATTCAATTATCTGTCTGCTTCTGCATTTTATATTATCCTCTATTAATCTCCACATGTGTTAGTGTCCCCGGACGACGCATATAAATTGAATTAATAAAGAGTTGCAGTGTACACTTAGTATAGTATATCTCATACAAGCGTCAATAAATGAATTGAAAACATCTTGTTCGTTTTCACCGCTTCTCTGTATCATTCGTCTGAACGCCGCTTTGAGGGAGCTTCAATTCTCTGCAGCAGCAGCGCGTCTTCATCTTCTCTGTCCTATGCTGCAACTCTTCTTTCTAATCACCTTAGGAGGCAAACCAACCCCTAATGAACAAAAACACAAATCCAAGTAAATTTACTTACACTGCCACCTCGGAGAACTCCTTAAACACCTCAGCATTAATATATATATATATATATATATATATATATTATATA